ACCAGTGCGACGACCTGGAATCGCATGTGCGACGGCTGCATTAAATAAATTACGCTTTTGGATGAAATTTATTAATACGTTTGCTTACTTACCGTAAAAGTCAACTCCCGTGCGACAAACGGTTACAGTTCGACATCACCAAATGTTGGGTCGACACCCCTTCTTCTAGAGTATGAAATGATTCTGTTGATTGGATCGCCAGTCAAACAAATAATAAAAAAGTATTGAATAATACTGTAGAAAAACGATTTTTTGTGAAAGCAAACAAAAGCGCATTTCATTCATCAAAGCTTTCGTCTTCAATGTCCGAAGCATCATCGACAATAGCAGCTTCTGGCAGTGCCGGCAGGTACGTTGCAAAGTCATCGGACACATCTCTAGGACCTATAGGAAGCAGTTTTGCCTTTCGAAAACCTTTTACAATGTCTTTTTGCCTTGACCATGTCCGATGCTTTCGCTACCAAGAAAGATAGCATCACACGGCGTTCTGCTGTAGTTACGCAAAGTTTGCGGTTTTTCTCATTTCTGAAACATATTCAAGAAGCCTAGACATCACAGCTAATAGATTACAAAAAATATGAACTAGAAAATGAAAAAAGCCCAAACCTCTTTTCTAAATCAGGATAGAGCACTCACTGTGCCTCATGTGCCTTTGGATTTACGTAGAACTTGCTTCCATTATTCTTGTCACCTTCTAGATTTGTCTTTTGCTTTCTCCAGCGGTATACAGACGAGCGATGCACGCCCATCTGTACTGCGACAGTGGCTACAGAGTTTGCTTTTGAGGCATAAAAAACCTCGTAAGGTTTTTTAAATGATTTGATTGTTACCGCTAATCGGTGTCGCACTGGAGCCGACTTTTACGGTATTGTTTTTTTTAGAGAATGAATTTTTGAGAGCTTCTAAACGAGGAAACTGATGCCCAGCGCACTTGCAACGTATGCCACTGCGTGTTCTCTCGCTCGTGTCGCTTACGACGCCACCAGCAAGGATCATGTAGAGGAACATCCACTGGGCTCAGGCAACTATGCCCAGTGTGTTGACAGTGGGTCCGCGGGAATCGCCACCACCTCACGCGTCATCAGCGATCTTCGCGTTGTCGGACGCATGCAGATCGAATCGAGCATCGAAATCAGATGGATCAGGTGCGCCGGGAGAGAGATGCGGCATGGCATCGCAACATACGCAACGGTCGTGAGCGTGATGGATTGGTTGAAGATCCAGAACAGAGCGAAGAGCCAGGACAAGGTGAAGCGTCAGGTCAAGTTGAAGAGCCAGGACAAGTTGAAGAGACAGGACAGGGTGATGAGACAGGATATGGTGGTGAACCAGGACATGTCGAAGATCCAGAACAGTTGGGTCAGGGTGATGAGCCAGGACAAGTTGAAGAGCCAGAACTGTTGGAGCGACTGCTACAAGTCAGTGATGACGATGCACCTGCACATGCTCTGATC